GCTGCTGGGGCAGGGGATCTGGTTGCTGCTGGGGCAGGGGATCTGGTGCTGCTGGGGCAGGGGCTGTGGATTCAGGCTGTGCCTGGACCGGCTGCTTTGGAATGAACAGAGGGGAACTTTGCTGAGTCCTGCTGAGCTCCTTCTGGTGGGACCTTCTCCTGGATTTTCCAGAGGGCAGATGATAGATGGGGTGTTAGTGACATACCAGGGATGAAGGAGCAGAGCTGTGAGCTGTCCATCTCCACAGATCCAGCAGTGCCTCCAACCCAGAGGCTCGGGAATGTTTCCAGTGCTTGAGAGGGGCTGTTGCTGTGAAGTGTTTGAAGAGTCTGTGGTCTCACAGTGCCTGGAGGGGGGATTACAAAACCCAGAGGGTTCTGTTTCTGCTTGATTGCAAATCCCTGAGCCAGGTCTCAGTCAGGTGTGAAGGTACCAATGTTTATCCTGCCCATCCTTGGCATGGAAGCAGCTCTGTAACACAACACCCAAAAAACCCCTGAGCCCAGTCCCTGGTGAGCCATCCACCCAGGGGGATTTTCATCTCTGCTGAGATCTCCTGACTTCAAAGTCTGCAGAATTTATTTGCATCCTTCATGAGGGAGAGAGCCAGGCATTTGTGGGTTTGTTTTTTTTTTTTGTTTTTCCCTGAGCCTCTCTGTTCCTCCCCACCCTCTCCTCAGTTTGTTTATTTGGTTAGCTCAGCGTCAGCACAACGATGTGGAAATAAAGCAGAGGAGCTTCCTCTTGGCCTCATTGAATATTCATAAATGGGAGAAATAGATTATACTGGCAATCCCTGGCTGGGCTACAGTTAATGGAAGTTCTTCTTTGACCTTACAAACCCCGCTTTTCAAGGGTTTATAATGAGTCTGCAAAAATTCATCCCGGGCACAAACAAGTCATCTGAGGTCTCAGACCCCGTGAGCACAAAGTCATAATAATAATACTAATTTCCCACCCACTCAGGCATGTGCTCAGAGTCTTATAGATATTGCTATTTTTAAAAAGCGTTTTTTGGAGTTTTTTTACCTTTTTGGGACTGTTTCAGTGTATGTGTTGGGGGGGAGGAGGGTGACTGGTGGGGGACAGCTCTCCCTGTGCTGTGTGACATGGGTTCCCTGCTTTGGTCCCCCTTTGGAGGCTCTGTGGGTCCTTCCCTGGCTCTTCCAGGAGCAGTTTTATGTCCTTAAGATCTCAGCCCGATGAGCTGGGTGATCACACCTCAGCTGGCTCAGCAGAAAATCAGCTCTTGCTCCCTGGCAGTGGCTCTGCACCTTCTCTCCCCTTCCTGAGTCTGAGAGCAAAGACAGTCTGGGCCTCCCGGGGAGGGGATGAGCTGCTAAAAGCCCCTGCAACGTTTTGTCCAGCCCTGACCTCTGCACAAACTTTGTGCTGAAAACCACAGGGTTTGTGGTGCAGTGACAGAAGCTGACGTTTTGCTGAAGGAAGGCATCACATTTGGATGCTGAAGGGTTTATTTGATGGCTCCCTGGCCCTGCTCAGAGGCAGAGGGACTGCAAGGCTTGTTGCCACTGATGTTGGAGTGTGTAGTGGGATTCCTGCTGGGCAGCAGCCCCGTGCTCTCTCTTTGTAGGCTGTGATGAAGCAGCAAATTGCTGTGTCTGATGGAGTTGCTCTAAATGTGGCTTGTTTTGGGTCAAGTGACTGAGCCAGGGGCAGAGCCTGCCTGCAAACCCCAGTTCATTGAAACCAGTGCTGATCTGCAAAAATATGCCAAAACTGCTATTTTTCACCCCCCCCAAAAAAAGGCTTGTCAAAATACATATTACCCTGCCCACGCTGACTGTTTGCCCTTGCTGTTTTCTTGTTTGCTCTGTGCTTATTTCCCATTTTTCACTCCACCTCGTGTGTGATCTGGCAACATCTGGTGTTAAAGGATTGTGTGTGTGCACGGGCAGCTCTGAGAGCAGGGCATCACATCTCTTTTTTTAGGCTGAAAAACGTTTTGGGGCAGAGCCTGTGCTAATGCTCACAGAGCATCTGGTCCTCTCCAGGTCCAATTCATCACTGTCTTGCAGTTTGCATTATTGTTCACACCGAGGGAAAGTGGGTGTGAAGCTGGAATAATAATGTTTCACACTTGCTTTGCATTGGTTTTGATATCCAAGAGCATCTCAACCTATCAGAAAAGGCATAAAGGAATTGAGTGGTCGGAAGCTGAAAGCACAGTTGACAAATAACTTCTTAATTACCTTTAGTGAGGAAATGACTGCTGGGCTCGATATTATATCGATGGCAAATGGAAAATCAAGATGGGAATTTTCAATTCTAACTG